TATGTACAACTCACTCCCAGAATAAGTGAACAGCTGCCTTCCATCTTCCGGGGGTTCCCACCAGGTTAGGCAGTAGCTACTGCACTGAGAACCAGACTGATTTAAGTCAACTGTAATTTCCATTGGAAGTGGCCACAGAGATCCTAAATAGTTAGATCAGACAGATTCTGAATGAAAGGTTCTCTAGGTGGAGAAGACAGACAACTGTTGCTTCCTAGTCTGTTATTTCCCAGAATCCTCCCCAAACTTATAAGAACTCCAGCTATATTGATTGGATTAGGTCCTACCACAATGACCTCATTAAACCCTCTTTAAAGATCCTATTTCCAAATAAAGTTACAGTTTGGAGAGTTGGGAATTATGACTTAAGCATAAGAACTTTGCTGGGACCTGTTTCAGTCTATAATAGCATGCAAGTTCCCAGATAGAGGCGGGTGCTTAGAATTGGTCGTCTGTAGCCAAGCATATGGACACAGTCCTGCTGTTTCCTTCTTGGCTTCTTGAAGAAAGGATTTGGGAACTGTGGCTGGGCTGTCTCAGGCCCGAAGTCCTGGCATGCTGTGGATATCACTCTATATAAATAAAACACTGATGGCCAGTGACCAGACAGGAAGTATAGGCGGGACAAGGAGAGAGGAGAATTTGGGAAACAGGAAGAAGGAGGGGGAGACACTGTAGCCACCACCAGGACAAGCAACATGTAAAGACGCCGATAAGCCACGGGCCACGTGGCAAGGTATAGATTTATAGAAATGGGTTAATTTAAGATATAAGTACAGTTAGCAAGAACCCTGCCATGGCCATACAGTTTATAAGTAATATAAGTGTTTGAGTGATTATTTTATACTTGGATTGTGGGACTGCGGTGCTTGGTGGAACCTGGAGAGAAGCTCTCCAGCAACACTGGCACCTCAGCATTTGTGGCTAAAGAGACAGCTTAAGGGTGGACAGGAGCCTTTCACGTGAATATTGCTGCTGTTGAGCAAGAGCCCCCTTTAATTCTCTGGAATTGACAGCCTGTCACCAGCTGGGTGATGTCAGTTTGGCTAGGAGACAGCATGGAGTAGTGGAGAGATTTGGCCTCGGCTACTGGGGAGTCATGTGGCTTTCCTGAGTCTCAGTTTCCATGTCTGAAAAATGGAATAAAGCCCTTCTTCGCCTCATTTGGAATCTTCAGGTCGGTTTTCCAGGGGTAAGAAGGAAAGGACTCAAGATCTACTTACTGTAGGAGTGAGAGAAGGTGCTGTGAGGTATCTGAGAGTGTAGGTCATAACACAACCTTGATGTCTTCCAGGCTCTCTTCCCAGATATGAGGTACCCTGTCACCAGGGCTACCTCTGGTTGTCTCTGGTCTCACCCCAGCTGCCCAAGCCCCTCCTAGCCATGCCTTGCTTCAGACTGGAGGCCAGATTTGCTTTGTGGTGTGTGAGTTTAGAGATGCTTCTCCTTGTACAGAAGGAGGTAAAGCCCAATTTAGTTCAAACAGACTTCTTCAAGTTGGTTGCAGCACAAGTTTTGTGTTTGGCTTCTAAGGCTCTAGGATGTCTGCAGTCCAATGAAATGATCTTCTCCTTAGGCTCAGCTCTCCAAGCCTTTTAGGTGGCAGTAGTGATGCTGGAGTGATGGTGTGTTTTTGTTCTTTGGTCTTTTTAAACAATGTTCCAAGCATACACAGGAAAATGGCTTGAAGTATTAACTTCAGTTGCTCAGATGCCCTGTGTGTGTGTGTGTGGGGGGAAGCTAGAGAAAACTTTGAGATAACTTGTTAAAACAACCACCACACAACTTTGTAACAGTAACTGAGGAGATTGATGGTGCGCCAGAAAGTGTGCTCAGTGCTTTAGCAGCATGAATGCCATTTAATTCTAAGAATGATCCCAGGGAATAGAAACTATTATTATCCCTATTGGGTCAGTGAGGAAACCAAGGCACAGAAAGGTAGCTGAGTAAATAGCTCACCTGTAGCATGAATCTTAAAAGTTCTTATTAATAAAATCAAACCTGAGGCCAATTATTGGGGTGAACACTGGAAGATCAGAGAGCCAGAACAAGCCACAGCTACCTCACCTCGCTGGATCCTCAGCTGATCCTGTTTCCTCAGACTGGAGGCTTCTGAGTCCTCATCCAGAATGGGTCTCAGCTGAACTGCTGCTCAAAAGCCTGAATGCTTAACCAGGCCAAATGCTTCTAGTTTCTGGTCCTCATGCCTTATATACCTTTCTGCTTTCTACCACTACTCCCTGGGATTAAAGACTGGCTTTCTGGGATTAAAGGCGTGAGTCACCATGCTTGGCTGTATCCTTGAACACGTGGATTTCTGCCTATGGAATGCTAGGACTAAAAGGTGTGTGCTACCACTGCCTATCCTCTATGTTTAATATTGTGGGTATTCTGTTCTCTGACCCCAGATAAGTTTATTAGGGTGCACAATATTTCGGGAAACACAATACCACCATACTCACCCTTAGGTCAGACCAAGACTCATCCCCTCACCATGAGCCCACTCTTCATTGTTAACTCTCTCCTACCATTAATGGCATGAATGATGCATTGATCTTTTCATAGGGGCAGAAGTTTTTACCTAGATATCTCTTAAAATATTTTTCTCTCAACTCCAAACTGGGGCCTTAAGTTTTAACACATTAATTTGGGGACATATTCAGACCACACAAGAGAATTTGAAGGTGGAACTCATCTATGACCAGGTGGAGGTCCCTCATCACCACCTGTTCCTCTGAATGTGCATGGCTGCTTCATATGCATTCACACATTAAAACAGGCATTTCACTTCTCATGTACTGGCCACCTTCATGAAGCTGGTGTCCATGGTTCTTACAGAACTCTGGGGTCTCTGAACTGCTTAGTGATGGGGGAGGAGTTTCCAGAGTAGTCAGAGAAGAACGGATCAGGTGTGAGCCAGTCAGCATGCCCAAGAGACTGAATCAGGGTGTATCCAGGTGTAAAGGCAAGCAAGAGGTATAAAATAGTTTAGGACTGATTCTCAATCAATAACAACTTTATTCCTGCGTCCTGGGGGTAGTTAGAGATGTTAGGAGATATTTTTGGTGTCATCATTGTCATGGAAGTGAACGGATAACTACTGGCCTGTTGTAGATTGAAGCAGTTTAACAATTGCTCACATTGTCAGGACAGCCTTTATTGACAATGAATGATCTTGCTTCACATGTCATTAGCAATAAGAGGAACCCTAGCCCAGGATCAGTGCTGATGACTTGAGGATATGGAGAGGGAGAGACTCATGTGAGCCATGACTAGGCAGATTAAGATCTTTCAGAAGCTGTCAGCTAAGGCTGCTGGGCATGATCCACTGTCTCCAGGCCGGTACCACCTGGAATTTAGAATATACCTTAGAGGGACCTGCAGGGACAGGGACCTGCCACTACAGCAAGTTTGTAAAGAGGCTGCTTGTAGCAGAAATCAATCAGTTTGATCCATTTCTCTCCAAATGTTGTGATTTCCTTCTTTTCAGCCACAAAAATTTACATTGTGCACATGCAACACATTTTCATTATCCATTCCTCTCTTGATGGACATTTGGCTGCTTCCATTTCTTAGTTATTGTGAATAGTGCTTGCACGTGTCTTTGTGGTTTACACATTCTTATAGATCTGAGCAACAGCTTTGTTATTGCTGTAAACCTAATCCAACTTCTCAGAATTGTCTTATTTGACTCATGACTAATTTGGATTGCTATCCTCATTTTTTTTCCTTATGTAGTCCTGGCTGTCCTGGATCTCAGAGAGATCTGCCTGCTTCTGCCTCCTAAGTGCTGGAATTAAAGGTGTAGTGTATCACCACACTTGGAATGCTATCCTCTTTAAAAATTATTTATTTTTATATATTTGGGTGCTTTGCCTGCATGTGTGTCTGTACCACAAGCATGCAGTTCCAGGAGAGGGCATCAGATGAGAGTTACAGATGGTTCTTAGCATCCACATTGGTGTTAGGAACTGAACTTGGGTGCTCTCTCTGCAAGAGCAATAAGTGATCTTGACTCCTGAACAACCACACCAGCCCCACTATCCTCTTCTTTTAAAAATGAGAGAGAGAGAGAGAGAGAGAGAGAGAGAGAGAGAGAGAGAGAGAGAGAGAGAACACGAACGAACCTGGGGTCCATGTATACATGCCCCGGAGTATGTGTATGTGGTGATCAGAAGACATCTTTCAGGAGTTGGTTCTCTCCTTTCACTGTGGGTTCCAGGGATCAAGCTCAGGTCATTAGGCTTTCATGGCATCTCACTATCTCACTATCTTCTTCCTATCTGGGGCAGAGCTGGAGCTCAGAGAAGGGAAATATTGTACCAGGTTTTGGCTGTTTGGTGGTAGTGCTGCCAGGATGCAGGGTTCATGTCCTTGGCAGATGTTCCCAGCCATGAATGGAATTCAGAGCCCAAACTTCTGCATGCCTATTCTTGGGCTAGGTAGCCAGTCCCATGGCTCCTTACAGACCTAGCTTAGAAACTCTCTGGGACAGGGACAGCAGAATTGTCATTGTGTTTTCAGCTTGTTCTTTGCCAAGGCAAAGCACTCATTTCCAAGCAAACATAAGAAAGCTGAACCATCCAGATGCATCAGCAGGTAAGCCCACACTGGTCATCTAGAGGAAGAAGACTGTAGCTGGAGCAACACCTCTTTTGGTCTGAATTTCCTCTCTAAGGCCTTAGGGGTTTCTTTTTGCCCCTTCCAGAAACCAAATAGGAACCTTTGCACACGCTTGCAAAGCACTACAGAGTTTCCGAGGTGCTTATAGGGGGCTGCCTGACACATGTCTTCAAAGTAACATGGGATAGTGATACAAGCTTCCACACTTGTATCTGCCAGGGTCAGTTAGGGCATCCCCCCTCAGGGTACCCCTAACACCATGTAGCCAGGGTTCCATTTGATGGACTGTGCCTTGCTTCTCCCTGGAAGAGCACACTGTTGTTTTCCCAGGTCAATACTTAAATCTGCAACGGTCTGTGATGCTCCTGCAGCCATCTAAAATGGAGATAAAAGGAAGTGCCCACAGAAAGGCTCAAGAGCTGCGGTGATTTACTGGGAGGCCTCCAGTGAGGCACCTGACCTGTGCCTCACTTGGATCATCAGTAGTTGGAGGTGGGGGCTCCATGTGCAAATGGAAATGCTAGTGCTAACAAAGGCCTGTGTCTACCATGGCAACTAGACAGACAGTACAGTGCCCTTGACCTTTCCTTCTCATTACTGATCTCTCCAGGTAACTGGGCCCTGCTGCCAGAAGATGCGGCAGCCTGGGAGCTGGAGCTTCAGACCCGGACATACTGACTGAAGGGTGCCCCCTGGTGTCCATCACTCAGATCTTTAGGCTCCAGTGAGATTGACAAGGTCAAGGATTTTCCTTTCCTTGACTTTGCTTCAAGCTGAAATGGAAGAAGACACATAAGCTGGGAAGGTACTGGAGCATGGTCTTCCTGCTCTTCAGTGTCTCCAACATGAAATCTTTGCTTAAGCTAAGGTAACAAAAATATACTTCCACCTGACTTCTCGGAAACATCTGTTTTACTTCTCAGGATTTATGCTTAAAAAGAAAAAGAATCAGAAATTTGTTTAAAGGCAGATATTGAGGGTCTGGGGATGTAACTCAGTTGATAGAAAACTTGCCTAGCATGTCTGAGACCCCAGGTTCCATCTCCAGCATTACCAAAACAGGATGTAGCAGCACATACCTGTAATCCTACAACATTCCAACCTTTCCACAGTACTGCAGTTCTAATCAGTCAATCAGGCTCTGCAGACACAGCTTTTTTCCAGGTGTTCTCAACCACACCTGCTTCTAAAATGTTGTTCCAGCTGTTTCTTATTCTTTTTGTTATGGTGTATTTATTCCATTGTGGAGCTGAGGGTATAGGTCAGTGGTAGAGAGCATGCTCAGCATATATGAAGCCCTGGATTTAGTTCATAGTGTACATACCTGTATGTATGTGCACGCACATGCGTGTGTACGTGCACACAGAGCACACACACACACACACACACACACACACACACACACTGTATTAGTTGTTTTTCTTGTAACTGTGACAAGGTGTACTTGGCAGAATATCATCATAATGATAGGAGCAGATATAGGGGGAAGTTCTTATTCAATGGTGGACAGGAGTCAGAGATCTTGAGACAGGAGGTAGCTAGGGAACCTCCTGAGGATTTCCCACTAATGACCAGTTTCTTCCAGCCAGGTTCTACCTCCTAAAGCTTCCAGAACTTGCCAATGTAGTGCTACTATCTGGGGACCCAGGTGTCTACACATAACCCTGGGGTGTGCATTTCAAATTCAAACTGTATCAAAGCCCTTTATAATGATTTTAATAACAAAGACTCCCAGGGGAGTCATTGTTTTGGGAAGAGCTTATTTTATCACTTTTGTGTGGATATATGGTGGGTTAATTTTAGGGATAGGCTCATGAGCTAATTACAAGTCAACTTCTCAGGTGTAATTTATCTTCTAAGAGGTACAGATTACACTATGAAAAAAACACCAGCCTTTTGGAACATTTCATGTAAGTGGGCTTGTAAGAGAAGAGTCTTTTGAATGCTTATGGGACAAACCAGTTTTGTTTTGAGACAGGGTCCCATGTAGCTTAGGCTGGCATCATAATCAAGGATGATCTTGAGCTTCTGATTCTCCTTCATCTTTCACACTTCTGTAAGTGACCCTAACTTACATTTCCTAAGCAAACCCAATAAACTCATTGGTTCTCGGAGTTGGACTTTGGTACAATTGTTCTTTGGTTTGGAACCCTCCTATAAAGAGGGGATAGATGTTCGTGTATGTCTCCCCAGGGAAAGAGTTCCTGAAACAGCCATGCATTCTAGGCAAACACTCTAATAACTGAGCTACACCCCCAGCCTAGAACAAGCTTGTAAAAGAGCTTGTTTTCCATTTAGCTCAGAAGTGTGACAGATTGTTTCATAAATGCTGCTGAGTGTTAAGCTTGGGGATGTAACCCACACTTATGGCCATGTAAGTTTCTAGTCACAATTGCTGTTGGAATGTGTTTTATGGGCTGTCTTTCTGGAATAACTAGACTTGGGCATTTGATTTTGATTGGATATAAGCACTGCATTCCTCGATGCACAATGCTGGGGTATGTAACGTGAAGAAAACATCCTAGGTGCTTGGAAGAAAGGAGGCAGAAGCCTTCTTAAATGATGCTTTGTATGCTCCAGGGTCTTTGTATGAAAGAGTGACTGGACTGATTCTCTGGGATTCATTCCTGTTATACCTTGGTCTCTGATGCTAGTAATGAGGCTGCATTTAAAAGTCCTTTAATATTTGGCAAAACTACTTTCTTCCCTTGAATGATGTAGTGGCCAAAAGCTGATTCATTGTGTGATTGCCTCTGTGTCCTTTCCAGTTGACCACAGGACATGTGGTCATATTATTCCACTAAAGAGGAAGGATCCTACTGATGAATGCATTTGGGGAAAAATACATTAGGAAATTTGAAAATGCATTTGGAAAAAATGCATTAGTTTTCTGAGACCCAAAAGAACTTCTAACCAGGAATTTGAGTCTGAGGCTCTGTGTGAGATTCCTTTTTCCTTCTGTCTTTCCTGGGTGCCCTGCCTGTGCAAATGGCTGGGCAGCCAGGACTTCATTTGTGCCTTCTGTTCCCTTCTTGCTGGAGGGTGAGAAGGAATCCTTGTGCAGGATGAGCTTCTCCAGCCCACCCTGGGAACCAAGAGGAGTTCATTGGCAGTCTTAGTCATTGCCTCACTGTTGGGGGCCAGGTGCAGCTTTCTTGGGGTGAGTTGTCTAGTAGTGGGGTGCCAGTAGGGTTGAAATTCTGAACTGGGCTCCCACAATGTGTGAGTGCAGTGGACAGTTCTTGTGTGGTCTGAGAGCTGTGTTAGGTGGAGTTATGGGCTAAATGAGAAATGTCCCTGAGAGGTTCATGTATTTGGTCACTTGGTCCCCAGCTGGTGACATTGTTTAGATAAATAATAGAACCTTTGGGTGCTGTGGGATAAAGCTTTTGTACACTGGTTTAATAAAATGCTGATTGGCCAGTCGCCAGGCAGGAAGTATAGGTGGGATAAGCAGACAAGGAGAATTCAGTGAAGAGGAAGGCCAAATCAGGAGATGCCAGCCAGCTGTCCAGGGAGCACCATATAATGGCACACAGGAAAAGCCATGGAACACATGGCAACATATAGATTAACAGAAATGGGCTGAGTTTAAGTGTAAGAGCCAGTCAGTGGTAAGCCTGAGCTAATTGCTGAGCAGTTTTAGTTAATATAAGCCTCTGTGTGTTTACTTGGGCTTGAGTGGCTGTGGACCAGGTGGGACACAGGAAAACTTCTGGCTGCATTAGGGACAAGGGGCCTAGACATTGTCCCCTTGGGGCAAGCCTTGAGTATCATAGTTCTATTCTGCTGCAGGTCCCTCCCTCTGATTCCTGATCCACTGTGATGGAAGAAGCTGTCCCATAGCTTCCTGCCACCATGCATGGAACCACTCCAATGACCCTGCTTCCTCTGCCATAATCGGCTATGGACATGAGTCAACACACACCTCTCTTCCCTTCAGTTACTTCTATCAGATATTTTGTCAGTGATAGGGAAGCTTGGTGAACTACAAAGCTGAGACCCTCTTTGAGGGCAGTTGTGTTGGCCAGCCTGGCCCCTAGCCTCTGATCTCGGCACCTGGACACCTTGGCTCCCATCCTGGCTCCAGCATCTGGCTTCCTGGAACCCTAGAAAAGTCTTCTCCTTCAGGTTTTTCATTAGCAATACCAGGAGGCGGTCATGAAGTGAGGTTCCTGTTGGCTCTAACAGTGTAGCATCATTGCCAATCTGGAGTCCCTGAGCTTGTGTCCCAGTGACAGACCTACAGCAACAGCTCTGGGCCCAGAGGCTTTCAGGGTCTTCCTTTTCTTCTTCTTTGTCATCGTTGTCTCCTCCTCCTCCTCCTCCTTGTCCTCCTCCTCTTTCTTCTTCTTGAGACATGGTTTCTCTGTGTAGCCCTAGCTGTCCTGGAACTTGCTCTGTAGATCAGGCTGACCTTGAATTCAGAGATCCACCTGCCTCTGCCTCCCAAGTGCTGGGATTAAAGGTGTGTGTTATGATGCCTGGCGTCCCAGCTCTTCTTGAAGAACACTGTGTCCTATGTATCATGGTCTCTAGAGGAAGGTAGGAGGGACAATTCACCTAGAGTTGCTGATGAGTGATGCCCAGCACATCTGTCAGGAAACCTCATGTTTATGCCCTGTCCTAAGATACTGTCTGAGCCCATGTCCTCTGAGGGACAAAGTATACACCTAGCCTGCTCTCACTTTTTCTGCTACTACATAAACTGCCATGAACTGGCTGCAAGAAGTCAAATTTATAATTTCTCAGTTCCATATGTTAGGAGTTTGAGGTGGCTTTTCCTGGGCTAAAGCCAAAGTGTGAATGGGTCTGGCTCTTCCTGGAAGCTAGAGGACAGAATCTGTTCCCTAGTCTTTTCTGTGGCTCCACTTCCAAAAGGTTCTGTTGCCATACAGCAGTGCCATCAGATTGGGACCAAGTCTTCAACATGTGAACTTTGGGGGAATATTCAAGATCCAAACCAAGAAGGGTTGAATTATGTTCCTTATCCCACATCACATTCTGAGGGTCAGACCTAAATGCTAGAACCTCAATGTAACTTTACCTGGAGACAGGGTTGTTGTAGAAGTAGTTGAGATAAGGCTATCCTGGAATGAGAAGACGTAGGCAGAAATTGGGGGATGCTTCTTCACACCATAGTATGAGAACCACAGATTGCCAGCATCCACCAGCAGCCAGGAATGAGGTCTACCACAGATTCTCACAGTCTCAGAGAGAACTAGCTCACTGACACTTTGGTTGGGGACTTCTGCATGATGAAGGGAGAGAATATGTTTCTATTGCTGAAGCCAGTCAGCTTGTGGTACTTGATTTAGCATTTCTAGGAATGATGCTGGCCATAAGCCAGAGGGGAGGGTGCCAGGGTCACTAATGCCAGGCATAGCTGGCCTTCCTGTGCTTCCAGTTGTATCATCCCTACCCTCTGTGGATTCAGCTACACCAGCCTTTGCCATACTCAGTTTTAACAACTTTCTGGTTACTTTTCTTGCTGCTGTAACAAAATACCCAACAAAAGCAGTTTAAGGGAGTTTATTTTTGTGTATAGTTTGATGGTACAGTCCATCATGGTGGGAAAGGCATGGCAATAGGAGTATGAGGAAGCTGATCATATTGTATCCACATTAAGAAGCAGAGGGAGGCAAAGACTGGTGCTTGTAGTAGAATATTATTTTAAGGTGTGTTATTTTTGTTTATGTTGCATTTGTTTAACTCTGTGAAGCTGTGTTACTGTGCCTGTCTAAAACACCTGATAGTCTAATAAAAAACTGAATAGCCAATATCAAGGCAGGAGAAAGACTAGGTGGGGCTGGCAGGCAGAGAGAATATATAGAAGGAGAAATCTGGGAGAAAAAAAGAAGTGGCCAG